CATACATAAAAAATTACCGTATTTAATACAACTAAAAGTTTAGAAGAAAACAAGTACCAAAAAAAATCGGTATGCAATAGTGCAAAGAAAAAAAAAAACAAGTTTGAAAATAATATAAAATACAATTCGGAAAAAAATATATATAAATTCTTTTTCGTGCATTTCATAGTACACTATTAAGGAAAACAGATATCATATCAGAACAAGAGTTATAATGGTAACCGCGGATGATGAAAATATGAAACAAAGTAAATGATGTTTATAAAAAGGAATGACTATATTGAATGGTATTTTATATATATAATAATCTTTGCACCATAAAATTTTGTATAATAAAAAAAAACATTATAAAAAAAAATTCATTTAAAGTTCGGATTCCTTCGTGGAAAATCGATTTCAACTTTAACATATTATCGGAAGTTCCAATTATTGTACCCCCGTCGTAAATTATTTCAATGGTTATATACCGTGAATCCAACAAAAAAAAAAAAAAACAGTATATCAACAAATTTTCCGTCTATTTATTTTCCAGCTGTACTGTGTTGGCAGTTGCAGGATTGGAAAAGTTCTTCAATCGATCCAATTCACTTTCCACCAACCTTCTTGATGGTGTTGGTACTCCATTAGTACTCGTAGGTTTGGAGGATGGGTATACATTTGCTGGTTCATTTGGTGATAAGGGTGTTTGGGAAGATCCTTGGTTAGTAGTTGTATTGGTATTGGCTTTTTTTGTGAGTAATGCTTGGAAGAAGTTTGCGAGAACTTCATTTTGCGAAGAACCAGGGGAAGCTGTAGCTGGTTGGGAACCATTCGCAGTGCCCGGAGGTGGAGAAGCGGGTGTGGGAATTGGCTTCTTAAATTGGAAATAAAAATCAGTATTATACTTGCGTACAATATCTTTCATGGATTATTAATATTAAACTACTAACTTTGATGTTATTCCTATTATTACCAGAAACTTGTGATTCGATTTCTGGAATTTCAGCTCCAATGTTAGCGTAAGCGTATTGAGGAGCACCCATTGGTCCAACAACTGATGGTGGACGTTCGTTATTAGCTTTTTGTAAAGTATCAAAGTGACGTTTGAAGAATTCTTGTTCGTCTTCTGCCTCAATGATTGACGGACCAGTAAGTGGCTAAGAATAAAATGAACATTAATTTAATTAGTAAAGATAAGAATATATATCAAAAAATTTAATTTAATTTTATTTTACCTTATCGTTATCTATATGATTAACAACATCTTCATACACTTTTTTAACGCTGATAACTTCTTCGGCATCTTCTGTTGTTTCCTTTTCACCAGTCATATCTAAATCCCAACCTTGAAGTAGTCCATCACAATCAAAACCATCCCTTAAATATTTAATCTGGTTCCAAGAATCCCAACCAGTGGGAACCAATACTGTGTCACGTTCAACATAATTTGGTTCAACATTGAATTTTGATCCAAGAAGTCGATGATGAATATATTGGCGGAGGTTTTCAAACGTTTTTGGATCTCGAGTGGTTGTATAAAAGAGTGCAGCACCATCTAATGTTTTAATAAGTATTAAATTATTTCAAATTAAACATTGGAATATCTAAAAGTCAAAATTGATTTTTTTTTTTTTTTTAATACTCACATTTAAGGCAAATAGTTCTTAAACTTTGCTGTATGTAATCAAATTGTTCTTCTTTATAATCCATCTGTTTTTCTAATGTGGAAACGTTATCAGACTACAAAAGTGTTACAAAGTTTTGTTTTGGTAAGCATAAAAAATTTTTGCAAGATAAATTATATAAAGCAATTCATTATTACCTTAGTGCAAACCACTACTAATGGCACAGCCAAATTGGTGGTCAAAACTCCATCACCCAAAGGTAATTCAACTTCTTCCGCTTCAGATGATGCTGGAACTGCTCCGTTTGCAGTACTAGCATCTGTCTTATTAGCATAGTTTTTAATAAAACGTAGGACTATTTTCATTATATAAAACAAATATTAAATTAAAATATTACAATTAAATTTAATAAACAAATTTTGAGTAATTAATTACGCATATACTTACGAGCTTCTTGCATCTCATCGATAATTGCTTTACCTTTAGTCCAATTATCTTTAGACCCTACAGCACCCTCCTTTTTTACCCGTTCAATACCAAGTTCAATAAATTTAATCCATCGTTGTAATGTTTCGACAAAAGTCCATGGGCGTGCCCAATCTAAAACAATTACAACAAGAGAGTCTGGAAGGGTCGTAGAATTGAGTGCAAAATGAAGGAGAGATTGATAAGCCTCTTGAGAGCCTGCAAGTTGGTATATACCAAGACGAGCAAGCGTATCTAAACAATATATGAAATAATCAGACATTTTAATATATCTTCATTGTTGAATAATGAAGATGAAAGGTCCTATTGATCATATCTTGGGAATTAATCTTTTAAGCTAAATAGCTATAAATCTATAAATCCACATTTAACCAACCTTCTGCGTCGTCTTCTTTAACTTCAGTAAAGGTATAACTTAAAGCCAAGTCGTTGAGACGTTTTTGGTTGAAATTACTGTTTTCATCGGCGCTAGTGTCAGTACCTTTTGAAACACTACCATTTACTTCATAAACTTCCTCGTCTTTCTCCCCTTTTAGGTGTCTGATGAGGGTAGATTTACCCGATTCTCTATCACCTTTAAATAAGTAATAAGACACGTGACATTTTAGTTAGACACAGGAAATGGTCAAATCTAACTAAAGCTGCTAAAAAAGCGAACCTAGAATCAGTAAATTTTTGGTGGGAACAATTTTTGAAGAAGAAACCCCTTTGAGAATTGAAGTCCAGATATCTTCTTGTTGGTCATTTGCTAATCCATTACTAGTTGGTGAATTATCACCAGTACCGTCGTTTGATTTTTGTACCATTATTATACCTAGTCGTTAACTTCGAGTAATAAAAAGAACGATTATTATTATTATTTTTTTTTTTTTTTTTACCAGTGTTGTTAAGACCTTCGAAGCTGAGAGTTTGAGTTTGCTTAAAGCAGTTGGTTTGTGACGTAGATTATTTGAATGAACGTTTTTCAACCAAGTCACGGGGAGATTTACATAAAATAACTTTTTAAGGGAAAAAGGTAACTTTGCTATTACAATATAAGTTTTTAATAATAATCGGGGAACCGCAATTTATAGTAACACAACGTACCTTTCTGGCGCCGATGAAAACAGTAATTTCAACCAAAAACGTCTCAAC